GTAATATATCTATCTTTGTCTGTGCTGCCTGTCCAGAGGTAGGCCCCTAGCTTTTTCTTAAGGCTGGTGAAGAAGTTTGTAGGGGGGTTCCACAAAGTTGCCACATACCAACCCATGGATAGTATTGAGGCGTTAAGTACTAAGACCCTTCCCATGAGTGGGACACACGTTGCTTGCCAGCCTACTAGTTTGTTTGTCATTTTGACTAGGAGACTGGACCCTGAGGATTCGTCGGTGCCGTTTGTTGATACTTGGATGCCAAGGAAGCGCACAGGATGTTGGGCGTCTAGCCATTGTAATCCCCCGGGTGTCCTGGTTTTGCTGGGGGGGATCAGAGGAAGACAACCACCAACCTATTGTTTTGTTCCAATAGATCTTCATTTTCGATGCTAGCTGAAAGGCCTGCATTGCTTTTGTGAGTGCCAGAAAGGATGAGTCCGACGCTCTGATAAGCACAGTGAGATCGTCCGCGAAAAGCATTACTGTGGGGATATAGAGTGGTCTTCCCTCGTGCTGGGCTAAGAGTCTTTCTATGGAAGGGTCTTTGCGTAGGAAGGCAGCTATCGCCTCCATTACGAAATGGAAAATTGGAGCTGCCAATGGGTCTCCTTGTCTGACAGATCTAGACATTTTGTACCTCTCAGACAGATGCCCGTTAACTTGTACCATCCCTCTGGCGTCCCCGTATAGTACTCTTACCCATTTTCTGAAATTTGGTTCTATCCCCATCTTTTCCATGCTTTGTTGTATGAAATCCCAGTTGACTTGGTCGTACGCTTTTTCAAAGTCGAAGAATAGTATTGCTGCCTGTAATTTTTTATCTTTTATTATCTTTGTTGCTTCATTTAGGCATACACAGTCAATCCCCGGGCTTCCGGGCAATCAATGTTGGCAGGTGTATACAGAAAAAGGTAGATCACAGATGGGCAGTCAATCCCTTCGCCGGAGGGCAATCAATACTGCCAGCCTACAACAATCTGCATGTTCAGGGACACTGGACCCGATTTCCAGCAGGTGCCGCTCCCCACCAATAGATGGAGCCTCCCTGGGAGTACTAGCGGTGTCTGCTCTTACCAGCACCCCTAGTACCACCTCGGTTGTTCAAAAAAAAAAAAAAAAAAACATTGTCCAGGATGTATCTCCCTGGAATGAATCATGTTGATCTAAATGGAAACACTTTTTAGTAACATTCTTTATTCTGTTGGCCAGAGCTTTTGCTAGGATTTTGTATACTACCGGAATAAGAGTTATGGGTCTGTAGTTCCTTATGTCTGTCCTATCCCCTTTTTTGTTTAAGAGAGTGACTATCCCGGTGCTGAACTCCTCGCCGAGAGACCCCCTTTCGAAGGCCTCTTGGAAGAAGGTTGTGGTTGCATCACATAGTGGGTGGCAGTAGGCCTGCCATAATTCTTTCGGGAGGCCGTTTCTTCCGGGGGTTTTGTTTGGTTGCATACTCTTGAGGGCTTGGAAAAGTTCCTCTTTAGAGATGTCCTTCTCCAGGTATTCTATGACTTCCTGTTTAAGACTTTTGTCGAGATGTTTTAGAAATTTTTCTCTCGCTTTCTGGTATTGTTGTAGTTGTCCGGGTTAGTCTTGGAGGTGTAGAGGCATCGATAGAAGTCTGAGCCTACTTTCAATATCCCATCTTGTGTGGTTTGTAGGTTCCCTAGGGTGTCCTTGAGGCTGTGTATTCTGCTGTTCCTGTGATTCGCCCTGATCTTTTGGAAAAATAATTTCGTCATTTCTTCGTTGCTTTCCCAATCTCTCACTCTAGCTCTGATTGCTAGCCCCTGTCTTTTCCAATCTGCCCATTGTCTAAGTTCTGTTCTGGCTTCTTCGAGGAGTTGTTCGTAAAGGGGCTCCCTTGGGTTGGTGATGAGGTTAAATTTTGCAAGTTCTACCATTGCTTCCAGACTTTCTTGTCTTGCTCTCCTCTTACTGGCTTCTTTCCTCGAAAAGAGATTTGCCCATTCACCTATCTTTCAAACCGCTAGTGGGAGATCGTTTAGAATTTCCCCTTTTCCGAATTTCTCCTTTAATTCTACCCACTTTTCCTGTAAGCCTTGCTTGAATGTACTTAGGTTGAGCAGTGATGTGTTAAGTTTGAAGAAACTGCTTCCTGGGGTGTTGTCTAAGGTGAGGGTCAGAGTGATGTTGATTGGGTTGTGGTCGAAGTCGTCATAATGCGGTAATCCTCCTATTTGATTGTCCTGTACTGCTCCTTCTAGCGTGTCAGATATGAGGAAGAAGTCAATTCTTGAGAAATATGTTCTGCCTTGAGCTGTTTTCCTAATACATGTGTAGTCCTTTTTGTCGGGATTTAGCATTCTGTAGGGGTCTTTCAGATTGTTTTCTAGTATGAGTTGTGTAAGTATTGCTCTTGCTGGGTCATGGGGTGTATCTTCTGCCCACAAAATTTTGTCCAATTGCGGGTTTTGGATGATGTTCCAATCTCCTACTGTGATTGTGTGCCTTTGCGGTTGCTGAAGCGTTCTGACTTCTGTGAAAAATTACGTTCTCTCGGTTGGCGAGTTGGGAGCGTAGATGTTTATGACTGAGAGTTCCTCTCCCCTGTAAGTCAGGTCCACTTTGGTCCATCTTCCTGACGTGAGCTCCACTGAAGTTGCTGTGATATGCGACTGATTGGTCACTTCTGTGTTTCTGTGTATCAATGAGAGTACTCCTGCTGAAGATGGGTGGGGACTGCAGGCTGTTACTGTAGCCCTACAATTTCTCATTCTTCTAATGATCTCCTTTTCTATTGCCCTGTGTGCTTTAGTGTTTGTTATATGGTTTTCTTGTATACACAGTATGTCCGGGGGGTTAGAGTTGTTACATCCTGTCGTAGCTAAGAAGCAGTGCCACTTTTCTGCATTTGACAGAATTGTTGCCAGCCCCCTAACGTTCCAGGATTGGATGGTTAGATCCCCCCCTTGGTGAAGGAGGAAGCTCCCTTCAGTTTCGCTTGCCTGTCCAGCTCTTGTTTTTTTTTAGCGAAGGTGAAAAGCACTGCGTGATTTTTGTGTAGTTCGTCTGACTTGGTTGTCAGTTCTTTTGGACACTCGTAGATCACAACCTCTTCTTTGTGGCTTCCTCCTTGATCTAAGAGCTTAGTGGTTTTGACAAGTGTTGACCATGTTTGCTCGGCGAGCCAATTCTGTGTTTCAATTCCCATACCCTCCATCTTTGTTGTGTGGCGCTGATATTGGACTTCCGACTAAGTTTTGCTGGGTGTGCTTTTAATGTGGGGGAGCTGGGTGACAATTGGGGGAATCTTGGGTTGTTAGTGGGGAGGGGAATTCCGTGGGCTGGATGGGGATGAGTGTGACGTTAGACCCTGCTCCGGTTGGGATGGAAGCCCAACGGGTGCGGGGTGACAGGTGGGGTGAGAGCGGGAAGGGGTGGAGTTGGGGTCTGGACGTCGGTGGTATAGGATTTGGGGGGCCTCGGATTGGGATGGGTGTGGTGGTGGAGTGGAGGTGTAAGGTGGTTCGAATCTGGTGGGGTTGGGTGTGGGGCGAGATCAGATTGTGGTGTAGGTGGGAGTGGAGGGGGATCTGGTCAAAGTTTTCTGGGATCGGGACGGCGGCGGTGTGGGAGTTGGGAGAGATCGGGGGGGGGAGGCAGAATGGGAAGGGGGGGGGGGGTAAGGCAGGAATTGGGTAGGGACGGGGTGGGTGAAAGGTCCGATCGAGATGTGTATGGGGTGGGGATGGATGGTGGACAGATTGCACGCGATCTGAGGTTTGGTAGACGTAGGAGAGTAATAGATTGGTAACGATGTAAGTGTTGGAAAGGAGCACGATTCGGGGGGAGGGTGTGGGAAGGAGGGAGTATGGATAGGGTGGTAGTGGATGGGAGTCTGGGTTATGGTTGTTGGAATCGTTATCATGTGGGGATGGGAAGTAGGCAAGTTCAACTATGGGAGCGGGGTAGAGGATAGGAAAGGAGGCTGGATAGAAGGAAAAGTTGAGTGCGGGCTGAGGTCGGGATCGGGGACGTGATAGATGTGGAGGGAAGAAAGGTATATGGTCGGGAAGGGGGCGGGTGGTGACGGGGTTGGGAAGGGTCTGGGGACTGGGGGGGGTGGGGTGGAAGCGGGGGGACTTCAGGATGTGGGTCGGGGTGTATAAGAATGGGGGGGGTGCAAGGTCGGATCGAGATGTGTTCGGGGTGGGGTTGGGTGGTGGACACATTGTGCACGATCTGAGATTTGGTAGACGTAGGGAAGTGGCCGCTTGTTAATGGTGTAAGTGTTAGGAGGGCGCACGGTAGGCGAAGCGGAAGGTCGAGATAGAGGCGGAATGAGAAAGGGTACGGGTTGGGGGATTGAGTTGGGCCGGGATGGCCGTGGTATGGCCGTTGGAGGGGACGGGATGGGGGGGGGAGTAGAGGCTAGTTGGAGAGGGGTTGGTGGTTGATTTGGTTTAGATCGGGGGGAGTGTGTGGGAAGGAGGGAGTATGGATAGGATGGAAATGGGGGGGAGTCTGGGTTATGGTTGTTGGTATCATTATCGCGTCGGGATGGGAAGTAGGTGGGTTCAGCTGTGGGAGCGGAGTAGAGGATAGGAAAAGGGATCGGGATGGGAACCGGGTGCCGGTGGGGTTGGAATGGTATGCCACCGGGGTGGGGGTGAGGGGAGGTCGGGGTAGGGAACTGCTGGTATCGGTGTGGTCGCTGAGTCGGGAGTAGGTTAGAAGGAGTTGGGATCGAGATGGCAGGAAGGCGGAGGTCGGGTAGAGTCAGGGTAGGTGGGGGGTTGGGTTTGGTGTGTGAAGAGGGTGGGGTTTGGCTGGGCTCTGATTGGGGGTAGTCTGTGTGCCAGGAGGGTGTAGAGTGGGACTGGGGGAAAATCGGGACGTGGGAGGGTGGAGGGGAGTACGGGGGGGGGCTGATTGGGCTTCGGGTGGTCGTCGGGTCGGTGAAGGAGGGTCCATGATGGAATTATTGGATGATGGATGTTGTGGTTGAATGTTGCGTGTGGTGTGGAATCTCGAAGGGGTGGGGAGGGGGTCTCGAATGGCGAAACGGTGAGAATGGGGGGAAGAGAACTGGGATTTGACGAGGTTGATGAGCGAAAGTTGTTGATGGCGGTGGATGGATGGGGATAGTGGGTCTAGGTAGAGTTTTAGGGCCGGTGGGTAAACGTCTGTGTTACTGTTATGGAATCAGTAGATGCTATCGTGTTGTAGAGTGACTCTTGTGTCAGAAAAGTATGGTGTAGATCTCACTTGTCAATTCCAATGAAAATGTTGGTGTGTCTTCTGCTCTCGCGTTTTTGCCTTCTCGATTGGCTTCTCCTTAGGAGTTTCCTTCCTCGTCGATCTTCGGTTTTGGGTGTTGCGTAAAAAATTCTCCTTTGGCCCTTCGTTCGCCAGCAGCTTCCGTCGATGGACTTGGATTTCACACTCCTTCCTGTTGTCCTTTTCCCCCACTTTCTCTTGGTCGCGTTTGTTCTTTCTCAGTTCGCCCTTCCGGGGCGGTTCCTCCCCCTTTCTTCTCTCTCTCTCTCTTTTGCTCTCTCTCCCTCTCTCTTTCTCTCTCTCTCTCTCTCTCTCTCTCTCTCTCTCTCTCTCTCTCTCTCTCTCTCTCTCTCTCTCTCTCTTCCTCTCTCTCTCTCTCTCCCCCTTTCCCCTCCTTTTTTCTTCTCTCTCTCTCTCTCTTTTTCTTCTCCTCCTCTCCTTCTCTCCCTCTACTTCATACTCCCTTTCCCATTCCTCTCCTCCTTCCGACTCCTGGCCTTCACGCCTTTCTGGGCCCTCCTAGGAGGGCACTTTCGTGACGTGGCGCCGCGCGATGGCTAGCATATGGGGCGAAGCGCGCAGAGCGTGTTTCCCGGGTGGTGGCGAGCGATGGGGTCAGCGCGTGGAGATCGCGCGCGGGAAAGTTTTCGAATTTGCGTCCCGCTGAGTGAAGCCGTACGGCGCGACGCGACGTGGTGTGGGCGGGCCCGAGCGCTAACCGATGGCGTTGGCGCAAAAAAAATAAATAAATAAATAAATAAATAAATAAAAAATCACTATCTGGACTACTTCGTGATTTTGCAACTTGGATATCTGTCTATCGCTCTCGTTCATATTCCTTGCAAGTGCCTGGTCACAGGGCTGAAGGGGCTCCCCCCCTTCCACTCCTGCGCAGTCAATCACCTGGGTCCCCAGGGCAATCAATGCTGGCAGGAAGTTAACATTTTTTTACGTCTTGACACAGGAAAAAAAAAAACAAGAAGATAAAACAAGACACACACACACACCTCCTGATGAGTCGGTGAAAGTCCGACGAAACAGTCTGGTAAAGTCGTGCTTTTTTGAGTGTATAGCGAATATGACAACACACAACACGACCTTGCTAAGCTCCCCGTTCAACGGATCGATGCAGCTAGGGCCGGGACCGTACTAGTGGTCATGCCATTGGGTGTCCATGGCTGAGTGGGTGTGTAGAGTGGGTTTTATGACTGTGTCAGATTAGTTTCTGAGACTTACTACCGTTCTTGTCAGGGGTTTGGGCCGGCAGTCTGCTAGGATTGCAAGGTTGTTGTGAGTAAAGTCTACCACTTTTCTCAGGGGTATCCCTAACTCTGGGCGATGTGGTGAGTCCTTATCCATCAGTCAAATGCATCCTGGGCAGACTGTCGGGGTTCAATCTCTTGATGAGTGGGTGAAAGTCCGACGAAATAGTCTGGTACAGTCATGCTTTTTTTTAGTGTACAGAGAAACACACACACACACACACACACACACACACACACACACACACACACACACACAG